TCTGACTACCTTGGATGATCAGCTTGCCCACCACACAGAGCAAGATTTACTTCAGCAAGGCTCTGGTACCCACTGAGTTCATTTCTTGAGTGTGTCACTTGTGGAGGTGGTTGGGCTGCTGTGCTTCGCAGTGTTCTGAAGCTGTACACTGGGTGTGCTGGCTCTGGGGTCAGGTCAGCCACTGCCTGTGCTCTACTCAGGGCCACCAGGCATAAGCTACAAAGCGCTTTGCAGATGGCTGCTCTTGTGCTGGGCTTGGAGGTACCCAGGCAAAGTCAAGTTGTGAACCAAGGCTGGCTGCTTCTCGTTCCAGGTTTTGGCTGCTTAACAAGAGTTATGGGCTCGCTGAGACCAGATGCTGCTTGTTTGAGAGAATTTAGGAAAATCTGAAGCAGAATCAAAGACAGGCCTATCCTATGATAAAGCAACCGGTAATAGCTTGAGTGGGTCTGAAAGTTGGGTGGTGCAGGGTCTCAGGGAATTACCAGGACAGGGCAAATATTATGAGCTAGGTTGCTGGAGTCCCAGATATGGCTGCCATCTGCCTCCCCTGGGAAGGGTCCACCAAAGGAACAAAGGACTCTGATAGCACATCTGTCCAGGAGAAAGCTGCCTCTCCAGCCCTCGCTCCAATGCCAATTATTCCCACTCCCATGTGCCTTTTGAGATGCCTCCCCAATGCTGGAGCCTAGAGGGTGCAAGTCTGAGTAAGTGATTGTGCAGGCCCTTTAAGAGGAGCTGTCTGGGGCTTCAGCAGCCTCAGCCTCCCTCAGCCTCGATTCCCGCTGGTTTTACAGCCAGAAGTTATGGGGATTCTCTTCCTGGTACTGGAACCCTGCGCTGGATGCCTGATGTGGGAGGAGGACCTCCTTAATCCTCAGGGAGGACCTCCTTAATCCTCAGGGAGGACCTTCATAGACAAGGTATCCTCCTGATTTTTATCCACCACACGTGAGTGTGGGACCAGCCCATCTGTGCCTCTGCCCCCCTACCAGTCTCATTGTGGCTTCTTCTTTAATTTTGTAGTTGTAGGACTTTCATTCAGCTTGATTTCAGGCAGTTTTGAATGATGGTTGTTCTGTAATTTTGTTGTAATTTTAATGTTGTTATGGTAGGACGCGATACCACATTTACCAATGCCGCCATCTTGCCCGGAAGTCCCCAATTTTTCTTTCTTTAAATGACCCATGTTTTTCTGTTTCTGTGTATGCCATGTGATTTTTTTTCTTCTTTTTGGAAAAGATAGCCACTTTACCCAGTCTTTGCAGACTGTCTCTGTGCCATGAAAGACCTTCACTAATTATTGGGATGTGTCTGAGTCCTCTGGGTCAGCCTAGGGCAAAGGCTTAAGCTCTTCTCAAATTTTTTTCTGAGCACATATCTTTCCTGGGCTTGTGTGTATGCTATTTTCAATTCCCCCATATACATGGCTGCTTTTAAGTGTCTTAATTTCCTAAAGTTCCTCACCTTAACTCCTACTTAGGCTTTAGATGTCCTATTGCATCTTCCACCACATACCCATTCTCTTGCCCCAGGCATGTGTGGATTTGCAGCCACCCCATGGCTTTCACAAGAAGTACCCACTGCTGTTTTCTGTAGTTTTTACCATCTGAGATCCAAGTCAGGAAAAAGAGAGATCTGTCCCTCAGGCATCCCCAAGACAGGGTACAATGTTGCCAAAAGGTCTGCTCTGTTCCCTTCAGTTTGAGGGAAAGGACTAGGAGTTGGTATTCTTCTTTCAGATTGTTTCACCTGGGAAGAAGTGGGGCAAAGATGAGTAAACACCACAAAAACTTCTAACATTTCAAATGTGACTTTTTCTTGACTGGGCATTTGCTTGGTTGCTATAGCTCTTTTACTGTTTTCCAGAATTCCTATAAAATATTTTAGCCCTGCTCAGGAAGGGGTAATTTATCCTGCCCTCTGCTTGAGCTTTGGTCATATGCTGCTGGGAATGCCTCTCCCCTAGTCAGGGCACAGAGGCAGCCAGGGCTATAAGTGGTGCTGCTCTGACAAGAGCTGTGGGACCAGACATGGCTGCAGGGCTGGATCCCAGAAAGAAGGGGCCATAGAAGGCCTAGAATCAGTACTCCCTGCCAAGGACCAGTTTTGTTTTACAGTCAAACCTCAGTTCTCAAATGTCTCCCATCTCAAACAGTTCAGTTCTCAACCAAGTTGTTCACGGAAAAAATGTCTCAATTATTGAATAAAACTTTGGTTCTCAACCTGAAAGTCCTTGTATGCTGATATATCAGTATGACAAAAAGAGTCTCTCAGGTCACAAACAAAGGAGAGAATGCAAGTCAGTTGACTGCTAAACCTTGCATTGTTAACATCTCAGGAAATTGTGCTGTGAATATTTTTTATGGTTTTTTTGTCGGTGGTGGTGGTGGGATTTTGTTGCTGGCAAAATGGAATACTAGCACAATTTTAAAACAAAAAAAGAGGCCATCAAAAGTGCTAATGTTGCTAAGAGTGTGAAAAAAACTGATCACAGGTAACTGAAGAGGTAGAAAAACTGTTGATTTGGATAAATGAGTTAGCCACCAGTGACAGCATTTCAGAAGCAGTGATAAGTGAAAAAGTGAAGACACTGCATGCTGACTTCCTGAAAGACACCCCTGGAATGAGTGCTAAAAGTGATTTATTAATGGCTAGTAGGGGGTGGTGCAACAAATTTAAGAAAAGAACTGTTTGTTTATAGATTAAATGGTACATTAGACATGTACTATGTAAATAAGAAAGGGTAAGCAAGGGAATCATTTGGGGGTCTGGAACGAATTAATTCCATTTACAAAATTTCTAATGGGAAAAATGATTCGGTTTTCAAACAAAGCCTTCTGGAACAAACTAAGTTTGAAAACTGTATTTCTTTTCCACCCAGATAACCCCAAGGTTGGCATGAAGGCTTCCATAGCTTCTCACTTGTACTGATAGCCCTGGCCCCCACATTTTCCATCTCCAGACAGTGCAGTCATACCATCCTCCAGCACTTTTGCCCATCACTGACCCTGGTTCCTCAGGGGATGTTACCACCTGCTGCCCATCTGTAAAGCTGGCATTCAGTATCTGTGTTCTCTGTATTCTGTCCTGAGCATATCTCACTTCTCTTTGTATCATGAGACAGCAGCAGGAGGTGGCTTTCCTGTGAGCAGCCCCACCTTATAGATGAGGAGACCAGCCCCATGCATGGGGGTAACTTGCCCACAGTCACATACTGCTATGGGTAGAGCCTAAGCCCACATCTTGCTTTAATCCTGGCACTTCCCTGTCCCTTCCCTGTCTCCTCACAGTTTTCATTCTACCTACCATAACTAACAGAGAATGATGGACAGATGGTGCACTTTCCCCAAGGGTACAGTAGCCTTGAGAATGAATCACCTCACTCCCTGTTCTTGGAAGCTTCACATTTGTACATGATGCCTTGCACTAGAAGCTGCTAATAAAGCTTGAACACATGCTTTCATTTGGTGGTGCATTGAACCAAAATGAATGATGCTGAATTACTTTATTTTACTACTCAGGTAGAATGTTTTTAGCCTTTGAAAACACACAAGTATTATTTCCTCCTTGGCAGGAATATACTACATGAATGAAAAGATGCATCTGTTGCCCTTGCCAGAGTGGGCCAGTGGTTAGAGCATAGGCTTGTGCACCAAAAGGTCAACAGGTTTGATTCCCAAACCCATGCTCCAACCAGATGTGTGGAAAGCAACCAACTAATATGTCTCACATCAATGTTTCTCTCTCCCTCTCTCTCTTTCTCTCTCTCTCTCTTTTCCCCCTTTTCTCCCTCCCTCCTTCCAGTCTCTCTAAAAAATGAGTTGAGCCCGGCTGGTGTGGCTCAGTGGATTGAGCATCATCTCATGGACTGAGAGGTCCCAGTTTGATTCCCATTCAGGGCACAGGCCTGGGTTGCAAGCTCGATCACCAGTAGGGGGTATGCAGGAGGTAGCCAATCCATGATTCTCTCTCACATCAATATTACTATCTCTCCCTTCCTCTCTCTTTAAAAAATCAATAAAAACATTTTTAAATAAATAAAAATTTAAAGTCAATAGAAAAAATATCCTCAGGTGAGGATTTAAAAAAAAAAAAAAAAAAGATGCATCTGTTATGGATTTTTCAGGGAAATGAGCAGTGTTTCTCACATTAGTCTGGGTCTCTCAGTTCCCAAAAGACCAGATTTTAACCCTTTTTAAAAGTAAATTACTATGTGGGAAAATAAGTGAGAATTAAAAGACTAGATCAGATACACCTTCCAGTTACTTTGAAAGGTTTGGGGACATTGTTTACATATAACTTTTTAAAATAGAATGAGTCCAGCTCTGGCTGGTTTAGCTCAGCAGTTAGAGCTTTGGCCCTCAAAATGAAGAGTCACAGGTTCAATTCCCAGTCACGGGCATGTACCTTGGTTTAGATTCCATCCCTGGCCCTGATCAGTGCGCATGCAGGAGGCAACCAATCTATGTTTCTCTCTCTCCCCCACTCCCTTAAAAAAAAATCAATGGAATAAATATCCTTGGGTAAAGATTATATATATATATATATATATATATATATATATATATACACACACACACACACACACACACACACACACCACACACACACAGACACACACACACACAGAATGAGTCCAAAAGCTATTTGTATGAAACAAAATTTAAAGGGAAACATGATCAGCGTGTGGGTCTGTACCCCAGGTCAGCACCTGTAGGACCTACAACCTTAGACAACTCATATATTCTTATAAACCTCAGTTCCTCTTCTATATACTAGAGATAGCACCTTCCAGAATCATTTTGAGAATCAGATAAATTTTCTGATTCACAGGAGAAAAATGCAGATCAGTTTTGGGTTCAATGCTTTGTCTCTATGCACAGGGATTTCTGACTCGCCCTAGAAATTTGTAGCCTAATGATTTTTTTTTTTTTTTGCTTCTCTGTTTCTACCAGCAGCTGTGGCATAGTCCTCAGTAGACAAAGAAATAAAAAAAAATACCAAATAATGGTAACCTGAAGATGATGAAGATGGCATACCCCCTGGGACTATTTGTGTGCCTGTTCATCTATATCACCTACATCAAGTGGCACTGGGTCTCCACCACCCAGGCCTTCTTCAGCATAACTGAGGTAGCCCCAAGGACCCACTTGAGATTCCCTGGAGATGACTGCACATGTTGACAAGGTCTTCTATAGAATCATGTCTGATGCAAGAAGCACTGGCACCTGAGTACATATCTTTCAATTCACCTGGCAGCTTGGAAGTATCCTGCTTGGACAGAAAGCCCTTGCCGTATACTGCTTTTTCTATTTCTCTCACAGGAGAGCTCTTGGGATCACCTCCCCTTAAAAACAGTGGTTTCTCACTTCCAGTCAAGATGGTGGCATAGGTAAATGCGGTATCACCTCCTCCCACAACCACATCAAAGTTACAACTAAACTACAGAACAACCATCATTCAAAACCACCTGAAATCAAGCCTACAACTACAAAATTAAAGCAGCAGCCACATCAAGACTGGTAGGAGGGTCAGAGATGCGATGGGCTGGTCCCACACCCACGTGTGGTGGATAAAAATCAGGAGGATACTGCGGCTGGGAAGGTCCTCCGTGAGGACTGGGAGATCCCCATCCCATACCAGACGCCCCATTCAGGGTTCCAGTGCAAGGAAGAGAAGTCCCCATAACGTCTGGTTGGAAAAACCAGCAGGAACTGAGGCTCAGGAAGGCTGAGGCTGCTGGAGCCCCAGGCAGCTTCTTAAAGGGCCCGTGCATGGAGTTATCAGACTTGCCCCCTTTAAGCTTGGAGGGGAGGCAGCTCGAGGAACACCAGAGACATACAGAGAAGAACTGAGCTGTTTGGCACTGGAGCGAGGGCTGGAGAGGGGGCTTTTTCCAGGACAAACGTGCTGTCAGAGGCCTTTGGTGAGCCCTTCCCGGGGGCAGCAGACGGTCACCATATCTGGGACTTTAGCAACCTGGCTCACACTGGTAGCCCCACACTGGTGATTCCCTGAGGCCCCACCCCACCCAACGTTTAGGCCCACCCAAGCTGTTGCCAGTTGCTTAACCATAGGATTGGCTTGCCTTAGATCCTGCTTCAGGTTTTCCTAAATTCTTTCAAACAAGCAATATCTGGCCTCAGCTAGCCCCATACCGCTCGTTAAGTAATACACAGAAACAAACACAGGAAGGCAGCCAAAATGAGGAGACAAAGAAACAAGTTTCAAATGAAAGAACAGAACAAAACCCCAAGAAAAGCACTAAGCGAAATGAAGATAAGCAACCTAACAGATGCTGAGTTCAAAATACTGCTTATAAGGATGCTCAATGAACTTAGTGTGAACCTCAGTGAACTTAGTGAGGGCTTCAAGAGCATAAAAAAGGACCAATCACAAATGATGGATGCATAGTCAGAAATGAAGGAGGCATTAACTGAACACAGATTCAATAGTACAGTATGTAAATCAAAGAAGCAAACCATTGACTTGAAATATAAGGAAGCAAAACACACCCAATCAGAACAGCAAAAAGAAAAAAGAATCCAAAAATATGAGGATAGTGTAAGGAGCCTCTGGGACAACTTCAAGCGTGCCAGCATTTAAATCTTGGGGGTGCCAGAAGGAGAAGAGAGAGAACAAGAAATTGAAAACCTATTTGAAACAATAATGGCAGAAAACTTTCCTAACTTGGTGAAGGAAACAGACATACAAGTCCAGGAAGCACAGAGAGTCCCAAACAAGATGAACCCCAAGAGGCCCACACCAAGACACATCATCATCAAAATGCAAAAGGTTCAAGACAAAGAGAGAATCTTAAAAGCAGCAAGAGAAAAGCAGTTAGTTACCTACAAGGAAGTTCCCATAAGACTGTCAGCTGATTTCTCAAAAGAAACTTTTCAGGCCAGAAGGGAGTGCCAAGAAATATTCAGAGTGATGAAAAGCAAGAACCTACAACCAAGATTATTCTATCCTGCAAAGCTGTCATTTAGAATCGATGGCCATATAAAGAGTTTCCCAAACAAGAAAAAGTTAAAGGAGTTCATCACCACCAAACTGTTATTATATGAAATGATGACGGGTTTTTTTGAAGAAAAAGATAAAATATATGAACACATAAAATGGCAATGAATACATATCTATCGACAATGGAATCTACATACAAAATGAACAGGCAGAACAGAAACATTCTCGTAGATACAGAGAACATTTTGTTGGTTGCCAGATGGGAGTGGGTTGGGGGAATGGGTGAAAAAGGTGAAGGGATTAAGAAGTACAAATTCATTGCCAGACTGACAAAACTCAAAGGGAAAGGAGTTGGTAGGTTGGAAGAAATAAAGCAAAGAACCTATATGCATAACCAATGGACACAGACAATGGTGTGGGAAGAGGCGAGAGGGGGGCGGGAGTGAGGAGGAGGGGGTAAATGGGGGAAAAATGAGGAACATCTGTAAAACATTCAACAATAAAGATTTAAAAAACAAAACTGGTTTCTCAGAGTGTGGTCTAGACTCCCTGTTGTAGACTCATTTGGTAACTTGTCAAAAATGCAATTTCTCAGTTATACTGACTCAGAGTATGGAGTGGGATCGAGGAATCCCAGAATATTCTTACTTGTACTAGCATCTGGTTACCAGCTAAGGGCAACTGAGATCCCAGAGAGTGTTTGGTGGCCTATCCCCTCCCTGAATGCAGAGACAGATCATGTGGCTGGAACCATGACTTAGGCCAGAGGTTGTGTTGGTGAATTTAAGGCAGGAAGTAATTCCCCATTCAGGCCAGTGGAGCTGGTAGTCTAAAAAGTCAGATAATTGCAAAGACTCAGAACCCAGACCAAAACAGAGCTGCCAGTAGGGCCATAGGCCTCAGCACTGAGAATGGAGCAGGACCTGGGGCTCTGTCAGCTTTGCTTCCCAGGGTAGGAGGTGGGGCATCTTCACTCACTAGCTTCTCCTATAGAAAGACCCCATCATTGTCCAGCTCTTCATCCTGTTTTTCCTCTTTGCTCTTCTTTCCTGGCATCTCTTTGTGCCCATAGGATCTTAGGGTTGCTTCTACAGCCTCTAGCCAGTAAGTGTTTTCTGCTAACTAATCAGCAGGCCCACTGGTCAAACTGAAGTCTTCTCCTCTCTGGTTCTTTGCTGACCTGCTGTGCCTTTTGAGTCAGTGCCATTCTGTACATTTAACTGAGCTGCTGACACCAGACACCTTGAGTAACTCTTTCCAAAGCCATGATGGCATGTTTTTTTACTTTTCATCTGCTTTGTTTTTAAATTTACTGTAAGTTAAATATTTATGTGCTGGATCTATCTACTTCCAAAAATGGTTTCAAAGCTAAGTTTAAGACAACATATGTCCATGAATAATTCTTTACAAGCCATATTCCATTGTTTTATTTTTGGAGAGAAGTTCTTACAGAAATTTTTGTTTCTGATTTTTCCTCCTCGGTCTTCATGTCTGAATTCAAATCATGAGCATCTCTTGACTACTGTTTGCTCTGAACATTCACTCCCCCCCCCCCATATGTGCAAAAGTCCAGCCTCCTAATTTAAAACACTAAATTTTTTATAAAGAAAAAATTAATATTGTTTAGAACCTTATGATGCATCAATCCCAGAATTTAAAAAATGACTTGCATATTTGCAGTTTGGAATGATCTGTCCCGCTCCTGTATATATTGAACGAACAAGAATTAAATCTACCTAAATAAACTTAATTTTTTTAAAAAGGTAAAGTTCTGGCCAAAATATTAGGTATAATACTCATCTTGTTCAGCCAAACTAGTGTCAGAATTTAGATGAGAATTGTTGAAATGGCTCCTGTCACTCTGGGATCCATCTGTTTTCAGATTGACCTTTAAAAGTGTGACTAATCCTACTTGTACAGGTTTATATATTTGTGTAAAGCTTCATAATTGTACCTTTTTAAAAATATGTTTTCGCTTAGAAACTCCCACCTTAACTCATGAAACCTTCAAAGCACTCCAGCCAGACCTATCTGCTTATGCTGATGATGTTGAAAAGGTAGCAATTTTCTCTCATGTTATTTGGATTTTTTTTGTTTTTCTAAATTAATTAATTTATTTTGTTACCGATGTTTCTCCTTTTTACCCCACTGATTACCCCCTCCCCCTCCCTCCCTGCCCTGTCCCCAGCTTTGTTGTTCATGTCCACTGTTCATGCACACATCCAAATAAGTTATGTGGTTTATCTCTCCCCCACCACCCCCTCTTCTGGGGATTGTCAGTCTGTACCCCACTTCCACATCTCTGGGACTCCCCCATTCCTCACACTGTTATGTTTATTATATTCCACAAATAAGTGAGATCATATGATACTTGTCTTTCTCTGTTTTGCTGGTTTTGCTTAGGATGATACTTTCCAGGTCCCTCCATGTTGTATCAAAAAATAAGAGATCTTTCTTTCTTACAGATGCATAGTACTCCTTTGTGTATATATACCACAGCTTTCTTATCCATTCGTTTACTGATGGACATTTGGGCTGTTTCCAGATCTTAGCTATTGTAAATAGTGCTGCTACAAACATGGGGGTACATATATTCTTTCTGATTGGTATTTCAGGCTTCTTAGGCTATATTCCTAGAAGTGAGATGACTGGGCCAAATGAGTTTAATTTCTAATTTTTTGAGGTAACACCATATTGTTTTCCATAGTGGCAGCACCAGTCTGCATTCCCACCGGCAGTGTACTAGAGTCCCCTTTTCTCCACACCCTCGCCAACCCTTGTTGTTTGATAATTTGTTGATGGTGGCCATTCTGACAGGTGTGAGGTGATACCTTGTATTTGTTTTAATTTACATCTCTCTGATGATTAGCAATGTTGAACATTTCTTCATATATCTCTTGGCCATTTGTATGTCCTTTAGTTCCTCTGCTTATTTTTAATTGGGTTCTTTGTCTTCCTTTTGTTGAGTTGTATGAGCACTCCATGCATATTGGAAATTAACCCCTTATCTGATATATTACAGGCAGTTATGCTCTCTCATACAGTGGGTTGCCTTTCCATTTTGATGATTGTGTCTTTTGCTGTGCAGAAGCTTTTTAGTTTGATGTAGTCCCATGTGTTCATTTTCTACTTTGTTTTTGTTGCCTTCGGTAATGTATCAGTAAAAATTCTGCTGCATATGATATCTGAAATTTGGTTGCCTACAGTTTCTTCTAAGTTTTTATGGATTCATCAGTCACATTTACGTCTTTTATCTATTTTGAGCTAATTCTTGTGTATGGTGTAAATTGATAATCTAGTATTATTTTTGGCATATAGCTGTACAATTTTCCCAACACCGTTTATTAAAGAGGCTGTCTTTACTCCACTGAATGCTCTTGCCAACTTTGTCAAATATTAATTGAGCATATTGCCTTGGGTCCATTTCTGGGTTCCCTGTTCTGTTCCACTGGTCTATATGCCTCTTTTTGTGCCAGTACCAGGCTGTTTTGATTACAGTCACTTTGTAGTATAACCTGAAATTTGGTATTGCAATCCTTCCTACTTTATTCTTCTCTTTCAAGATGCTGTGGCTATTCGAGATCTTTTTTGGTTCCATATGAACTTTAGAAGTATTTGTTCTAGTTCTGTGAAGTATGTTGTTGGTATTTTGATGGGGATTGCATTGAATCTATAGATTGCTTTGGGTAGTATGGACATTTTAATGATGTTAATTCTTCCAATCCATTAACAACATATGTGCTTTCACTTTTTTATATCTTTCTCTCTTTATTTTTTCAGTGATCTGTAGTTTTCTGCGAGTAGGTCGTTTATATCTTTGGTTAAGTTTATTCCTAGGTATCTTAATTTTTTTTGCCGCAATGGTCAACAGAATTTTTTTTTCAGTTTCTCTTTCTGTGAGTTCATCATTGGTGTATAAGAATGCCATCGATTTCTTGACGTTAATTTTGTATCCTGCTACTTTAACAAATTCATTTATTAAGTCTAGTATAGTTTTGATGGAGTCTTTGGGGTTTTCTACATATAGAATCATGTCATCTGCAAATACTAATAGTTTCACTTCCTCCTTTCCAATTTAAAATCCTTTTATTTTTTCTTCCTGTCTGATTGCTGTGGCTAAGACTTCCAGTACTATGTTAAATAAAAGTGGTGAAAGTGGGCATCCCTCTCATGTTCCTGTTCTTAAGAATAATGCTTTTAGTTTTTGCCCATTGACTATGATGTTGGCTATAGGTCTTTAATACATGGCCTGTATTATGTCAAGATATGATCCCTCTATTCCCACATTGCTGAGCATTTTTATCAGAAATGGATGCTGGATTTTATCAATGGCTTGTCAGCATCTATTAATATGATCATGTGGTTTTTATTCTTCATTTTTTTATCTGGTGTAACACATTTATTGATTTGCGAATATTGTACCAGCCTTTCATCCCTGGAATGAATCCCACTTGGTCATGGTGAATAATTTTTTTGATGTATTGCTGGATCCGAGTTGCTAGTATTTTGTTCAAGATTTTGGCATCTACGTTTATCAGGGATGTTGGCCTGTACTTTTCTTTCTTTGTAATGTCTTTTTCTAATTTTAGAAATAGAATTATGCTGGCCTCATAAAAAGAGTTTCGAAGTCTTTCTTCTTCTTGAATATTTTGAAATAGTTTGAGGAGAATGGGTGTTAGTTCTTTTTGAAATGTTCAGTAAACTCCCCCGTGAAGCCATCCGGGCCTGGGCTTTTGTTTGCTGGGAAACTCTTGATTACATCTTCAATTTCTTCTGTTGTAATTGGTCTATACAAGTTTTCTATCTTTTCATGGTCCAGTGTTGGGAGACTATGTGTTTTTAGAAATTTGTCCATTTTGCTCAGATTGTCGAATTTGTTGCCATGTAATTGTTCGTAGCAGTTGTTAACAATCTTTTGTATTTCTGTGGTGTCAGTTATTACTTCTCCTCTTTCATTTCTGATTTTGTGTATATGGGTTCTCTCTCTTTGTTTCTTGGTGAGTCCAGCTAGGGGGTCCATCAATCTTGTTTATCTTTTCAAAGAACCAGTTCTTTGTTTCATTGATCCTTTGAATTGTTTTTTTGGTCTCTATGTCATTTATTTCTGCTCTGATCTTTACTATTTCCTTCCTTCTACTTGCTCTGGGGTTTTCTTTTTGTTTGCTTTCTAATTCTTTAAGTTGTGAAGTTAGATAGTCCATTAGAAATGTTTTTTGTTTTGTTTTTTTCTTGAGGTAGGCCTGTAGTGCTATGAACTTCACTCTCAGAACTGCTTTCACTGCATCCCATAGATTTTGTGTAGTTGTGTGTTCATTTTCATTGGTTTCCAGGAAATTTTTAATTTCTTCCTTGATCTCCTCGGTAACCCAGTCATTGTTTAATAACACGCTATTTAGCCTCCATGTGTTCAAATGTGTTTGCATGTTTTTGTTGCATTTGATTTCTAGTTTCATGCCATTGCGATCTGAGAAGATGCTTGATATGATTTCAGTCTTCTTGAACTTGTAGATGCTTAGTTTGTGTCCTAACATGTGGTGTATCTTTGAGAATGTCCCATGTGCACTTGAGAAGAATATGAATTCTGCAGTTTTGCGGAATAATTCTCTGCAGAAATCTATTAAATCCATTTGGTCTAGTGCTTCATTTAGAGTCTATGTTTCCTTGCTAATATTTGTCTAGAGGATCTATCCAGTGATGTCAGTGGGGTGTTAAAGTCCCCTGCTATGATTGTATTGCTATCGTTTTTTTCTTTGAAGTCTTCCAGAAGATTTTTAATATATTTTGGCGCTCCTATATTGGATGCATATATGTTTATCAAGATTATATCTTTCTGTTGGTTAGATCCTTTCAATATTATATAGTGGCCTTTTTTTGTCTCTAATTATGGCCTTCATTTTGAAATCTACTTTATAAATATAAGTATTGCTACTCCAGCTTTTTTTTCTTTCCGTTTGCTTGGAAGATTTTTTTCCATCCCTTCACTTTCAACCTATGTGAGTCTTTTGTTGTAAAGTGGGTCTCTTGTATACAACATATATATGAATCATGCTTTCTTATCCATTCAGCTACTTTGTGTCTTTTTATCAGAGCATTCAACCCGTTGACATTTAAGGTGATTATTGATATGTACTTATTTATTGCCATTTTTGTTTAGTGTGGTTCTATTTTTTTTTCTATTTCTCCTGCTAATTACAGCAGACCTTATAACATTTCTTGCAGTGTTGGTTTGGTGCTAATATATTCCCTTAGCCTTGTTTTGTCTGGGAAGCTCTTTATTTGACCTTCTATTTTGAATGATAGCATTGCTGGGTAGAGTAGTATTGGATTCAGATCCTCTTTTTTTCATGACCTAGATTACCTCATGCCATTCCCTTCTGGCCTGTAGTGTTTCTATTGAGAAGTCAACTGAGAGCCTTATGGTGGTTCCTTCCTAGGTAACTTGTTGCTTATCTCTTGCTGCCTTTAGGATTCTCTCTTTGGCTTTAATTTTTGCATTTTAATTTCTATGTGTCTTGGTGTGGGCCTGTTTGGATTCTTCTTTCTTGGGGCTCTCTGTGCTTCTCGAACTTGAATGCCTACTTGCGTTCACCAAATTAGGGAAGTTTTCTGTCACTATTTCTTCAGATATGTTCTCTAACCCTTGCTCATTTTCTTCTTCTTCGGGGAGTCCTATGATGCAAATATTATTACGTTTCCAGTTTTCCCACAGTTCTCTTAAGCTGTCTTCCTGAATTTTAATTGTTTTTTTCTTTTTGGTTTTCTGATTGGTTGATTTTTTCTACCCTGTCTTCTAATTCACTGATCAGGTCCTTTGCTTCCTCTACTCTGCTGTTTAGACCTTCCAATGTGTTCTTTATTTCTGATATGTCATTCTTTATTACTTCTTGGTGGTTTTTAATTTCCAACTGGTTGATTTTCAACATTTCTATATCTTTACTTATGGTGCTCATGTCCTTATTTGTGCTGTTGAGCTTCCTCAAGATCATGGCTCTGAATTCTAGTTCTGTTAACTTGCTTAACTGCACCTCATTTATCTCATCTTTTATAGAGGTCTCTTGTTCTTTCATTTGGTTTTTGTTTCTGTGTTTCACCATTTTGGCTATCACAGTGGACTTTGGAGCATGCCAAATTTTTCCTGTGATTTTTGGTGTTCTGCTGTTTGTGTTTCCCTCTCCTGGTTTTGGATGAGCCAGGGAGGACCCATGTTAAACACCACTGTCAAGTCTTACTTTCCTGGTTAGAGTTGCTAGCCCATGAATGGTACAGTTATCCTCTAGATTTTTGCCTGGAGGCTATCAGTAGAGGTTACTTGAAGAGCCTTGGGTCCTCAATTGTATGCAAAACTCCCTCAGGTGTTCAGCATAAGGGGATTTCTTGAGGTTGGGGCAGATGCTGGTTGTAATGGGCCTCAATTTGCATTTCAATGGCCACTGGGTGGGGTTGAATCTCCAAGGGAGGGGCCACTGGGAAGGAGTAAGATGACCACAGTCCTGCTTGGCTGCAACTCAGCAAAAGCTCTGAGCACTCTCCAAATTCTAAGTGTCCCCACAGAGTTTTTGTCCAGTCCACCCTCCCTCTGCCAGAGCCCAACATGAATGGCTGTGGCTATTTTAGCCTCTGTCCCAGCTCTGAGTGTGGAGCCACTTGGGAGTTTATCCTGAGGATGCTGCTCACAGCTAAGGCCACTGCCCTCTGTGGGCTCCCAGCCTCCCTCTCACACCTCCACAATCCTATCAGGATTGAGTCAGTCTCTCTGGTTATATGGTACTCCAAGCTGCTTTTCTGTTGCTCTTTTTGACAATTTGTCTTTGTTTTCATTGTAATTCCAGTTTGGTCCTGGGAGATGGTCTGTGTAGCTTCCATTCACTCTACCGTCATCTTGGAATCTTGAAGTCTTGATGCATTTCAAAAGAACAAGTGCTACAAACTTACTGAAAACATTACTTGAAAGTTTAATTTTTTTACTGTTTTACTTCCTCTGATTTTAGATGACAAACATTGACTGAAAAAAAAAATTAAAGTTAAAACTGTATTATGCTAAATTCACAAGGCAAATAAGTATAAAAGAAATTTAATTAAACTGTTAAATAATAATTTTTGTAAATGTGTAGCATTTATAATTCTAAAGTCCTTAAAGCTGACAACTACAGTAAAATATAACATCTGTATTTCCACTAAGGCTTTTATGAAATCAGTCATCAGTACAGATGTAAATTCCTTTTTTGGCTCAAGCATGTCTTAAATCAAAGCTAATATGTCGTTCTTGTCCACAGATGCATCCTGATCTCAGACAGTGAAGCTGTAGCCTTGATTTCCTGTAGTTTGGTTAAAAAATAAAAATAAAATTAGTGATTCTAGCATGACCATAGGTCAAACCTGATTAAATTAGATATCTAGAATGAGCTCTGGGTTTTTTAAATCTCACTTGTTTCAGTAGGCAACACACATTCAAGTGGGATAAATTTTGCAGTGTCCTTGGTTTCTTGCATATCCTTCAAGATCAAACCACGGATAATACCAAATATATCTGTATTCTTCTCCCTTCTTTTTTCTTTTACATACACAATGGACTTGCATTTACATTGTTATGCAATTTGCTTTTGTCTTTCAACAACATCACTTGGAGGTCATTTACTCTCAGTATATGAAGAGTTTCTTTAATTTTTCTGGCTAGATGGTATTGTAGTTATATATGCCCATTGAATTTATAGAACCAGTGCCCTGCTGAAGGACATTTAGATAATGGCTACTCTTTTGCCCTTAACAGTGTAAGAAAGGCTACAGTTTTTCACATTATGTATACTTCATTACCTACATTGTGCAAAGACATCTCTCTAATAAATTCTTAGAGTGAGATTTCTTAGTAAAAGAAATGTATGTTGTCCCCCAGCATAGACATTGCCAAATTGCCCCCGTGGCATTGCATCTGTTGACATGAAAAGCAGTATTTTACCGAAGTCTTTCTCCTACCCATCCCTGCAGACATAGGGTCTTATCTAATATTTAGATCCAGCATTTCCCTAGGTGAAAATGATTTCTCAGTGATGTTATTCTGGGGGTTTTAGCACTATGAAAGACCCCAGAATTTGCTCATGATGTTCAGAGGAGTTGCAACTCATCTAAGGTTGCCAGGTGAGTGTTTTGCTGGCCAGGGGTATAGAACAAGAGCCGCTTTCATGTGCCTCACACTATGATGTTCTTCCAAGGGCATTTTTCTGTACTTACCTTGTCCTTGTGCTCCCTACACCTGCCAACACCATGTCAGTTACTGTTTTTGCCAATTTGGAAATTAGAAAAAATGTATTTATAAGTTAATAAAACCAAAAGGGTAAGGAGAACATCTGTGACTTTGTATGCTGAGCTTTGACAAACCCTACTTTTTCACATTCACTCATCACTCCAGTTATTCAGAAATTATTGGATACTGCTAAACAAGAAATTCCTTTTGACTTCTGGAAGGTTGCCCCCTTGGTTCTCAAGGCTATAGCTGGTTTATGTCTGTTACCAGGAGAAAAGGCTCAGAATTTACTACAAAAGGTGACCTTATCCATTTCCTTCTTGAGGGTAGTTTACAATAACGGAAAACACTAAATATTCAGCCAGTGTTCAAGCAGTCAGGCAGTAGGATGCTTCCTGAAGAGAGACACTGAGTTGTTAACAGAAGAGTGAATGGTATTTTGTTTCTCATGACATTTAAAGCTATTCATGTTTTCTATAATAAATCTGTTTTTATAATAAGAATAACTTTGTTTTAAAAATTTATTGTGCTTTTGAAGGGTTTCCTATCATTCAAGGACTTTCTGTGTGTCAAAGGCTGTGGGAACTTAGTTGCTGACATTTTGATTCAAACCTGCTTGTTCTCATGGAAACATACCGGTCCTATTCTCAGTCATACTCAGAAGTAACTACTGCAGAGGCCCTTTATCCCCTTCCTGGCTTTCATGTGCTCAGGATGTGTCCCAGACTCTGTACCACCCCTGCAGAACCTAGCTTTAACAAGTGCTTGGAGGGTTGCTGCTTATTGGCCAAGTCAGGAAAACTGTTCCAAACAAAATGGTCCTCTTAAACCTCTATACTATTTCTAAATTAGCTGCTAAATGATGGATTGTTGCACATCTATCAAGGTCCCTTATAAAAAGTATACAGTCAAGTAGGATTGTGGGACACAACTGCAGTTGGGGTATACAGATGTATTGAAGTTCCTGTGTATCAATATTTGCTTTATAAAATAAATAAGGAAATACCCCAAATGGAACTGCTCACTGCTTTTGGCTTTCCTCTGCCAGGTTGTCTCCAGGCCATGCAGTAGTCCAAGGTCTGAGCTCTGACTTACAGGGCTTCCTGACCCTTCAGCCCTCGCCCTAAAGCAGGGCAGCATTTTGGAGCCCAGCAGAGTCTTTACCCCAGAGCTCTTCCAGTGCAGAGTGCCTCAACACAGGGCTCTCCAGGGCAGCATCTGCTTCAGCTAGTTCAGGGAGTAGATTAATAATAAGAAAAGCGCTTGCAGAGCATTAGAGAAGCTTAAAACAAAACCTGAGCTTTGTTACTTTGCAGCACCAGCTGATGTCTCTGGCATTTTGAGACCACCTATTAAAAGCACAACGTGATTGGGAACTATGAGTTTAGGTTCTCAACCTTTCTAATGCCACGACCCTTTAATACAGTTCCTCATGTTGTCGTGATCCCCAACCATAAAATTATTTTTATTGCGACTTCATAACTGTAATTTTGCTACTGTTATTAATCATAATGTAAATATCTGATATGCAGGATGTATTTTCATTGTTACAAATTGAACAGGATTAAAGCATAGTGATTAATCACAAAAACAATATGTGATTATATATTATGAAATATTTATTTCTAATTACAAATAAATAAAATTTTGTCTTGAAGCATGGTGTAGCATGGGTAAAGGTCTTAATATAACAACAGTAAACTACATTGCTACATTTTGTGACAGTATGTGTAAAAAGGCATTGTCAGTGCAAAGGTTGAGATTTCTTCTTTCTCACCAGATCAGAAATTCTCGCCGTCTTTACAAGAGCACAATGAAGATCATCTTCCACAACAAGTCTACTTTTGTATTTAGACAGGATGGAAAACCCTGTTTCACAAAGATATGTTGTTGGAAATGAAAGAAGAAGGTGCAACACAGTCTCAGACAAAACAGGATATGATTGCAAACACTTAATCCAGAATTTTGTAAATAGCATTGTAGAGAAATCAGTTCTCGCTGCGTCGCTGTTAATAAGTTTAATGAACTCCTCTTGTGCTGTCTCAGGAACATCTTCAACTTTGACTGTAAATGAGCTTCTGGCAAAGTGCAAATGGGATGTCAGGTAGATTTGGAAAGTACAATGAAATTTTGTCTGCAAGTATGTGCAAGTGTTCTTTCACAGAAATTATCATCATAATCCTTTTGTCTAGTTCAATGTCATGTTCCTCAAAGAAAGCAGGTAAGGTAGGCAACACGTAAATTTTATTTTTATCAGATTCTTTTTGCCAAAGCTGAAGTTTCATTTGGAATGATTGTATCTTTTCAGACAAATTAAGGCATGTTGCATTGTCTTTGCAGTGGTGAATTTAATTCATTCAAGATGGCAAGATGTCAGCCAGGTAAGCTATTTTCTGTAGTTCACTTTTATTGCTGAAATGTGCTTCAAACTGTGGTCTTACTTTCTGATTAAAAAAATGTTTTGAGTTCATCACAAATCTCAAAAACACATTTTAAAAATTTTCCTGTCAACAACCATCTTACTTCAGTGTGAAATAGCAGAACATTATTTGGCGCAGCCAACTCATTGCACAGTTGTGAAACCGGTCGACTGTTTAAAGTGCTCGCCTGTACAAAATTGACAGAACTTAGGACGCTTTTCATACTTCTTGTAACTCTTGTGGCAGCGTCTTCATTGCTAATATTTGCCGATGAATCATATAGTGAGTTTTGATGACTTTTGGTGACGTGTTCAGTACCAAACGTTGAAATCCAGATTGACATTCTAGCATAGCTGGAGCACCATCTGTGCAAACACCACAAACCTTTTCCCAAGAGATCTTATGCTCTTTCAGAAATGAACCAACTGTGTCAAATACATCATGTGCAGTAGTTGTCGTTTCAAGAGGTTTGCAAAACAGAAACTCATCTTTAAAGTCATCATTATTAATATACCTCACATAAACCAGTAACTGTGAACAGTTTGCAACATCTGTAGATTCATCAAGCTGGATACTATATATTGAAAGTGGAGCAAATTTAATTTCCTGGATTACCTGATCAAGAATGTCAGCAGACATGTCATCTATTCTTCTGCAGACAGTGTCGTTAGATAAGAAAATTGCACTCAATTTTGTAACAAATTTGTCTCTGATCATAACTCAAATGACGTCTTTGGCCGCTGGTAACAGTAAATCCTCAGCAATGGCTCTGGTGATTCTGAGTGCCACCAAATATGAAGCTTCAATGGCTACTACATTTTGTTTGTGGTATTTGCCACCAGTGTCAAGTCTGGCTTTCTTGAGTCCATTAGCTTGGCTTTTAAAATAGTTGGTATCCTTGCTGGCAAAGCTCAGATGCTTGCTATCAGAATGGCATTTTAGTTTGTTTGGCTTCATAAATTCGCCTGATAGAACTTCACAACAAATAATACATTGCGGTTTCTCAATTCCTGCTGTAATTATTGAGGTAAAACCATACTGTAAAAAATCTTTAGAGAAGGAAAAATGGCCCTGGCCGGTTTGGCTCAGCGGTTAGAACGTCGGCCTGGGGTCCGGAGAGACCCGGGTTCGGTTCCCGCTAAGGGCATGTACTTCGGTTGCAGTTTGTCCCCGGCCCTGGTTGGTCATACGGGTGGCAGCTACTCGATGTGTCCCTTCACATCGATGTTTCTCTCTCTCTCTCTTTCTTCCTCTCTCTCCCTCCCACTCTATCTGTACAAAATATGGAAAAATATCCTCGAGTGAGGATTAAAAAAAAAAGAGAGAGAGAAGGAAAAATGGCGGCAGAGTGAACGGAAGCTACACAGACCGTCTCCCAGAACCAAACTGGAATTACAAATATAACACAGACAAATCAACGGGAAAAAGCAACAGAAAAGCAGCTTGCAAGGACCATACAATGAGGGACACTGACTGGATCCCGGTGGCTTGCGAAGGCGCGAGACGGGGGCTTAGAGCACATGGTTGGCAGCTCAGCAGCGGCCTTAGCTGAGAGCAGCGCCCTCGGGTTACACTCCCAGGCGGCTCCACAGCACAGAGCCGAAACAGAGGCTAAAACAGCCACAGCCACTCACCTTGGGTTCCAGCAGAGGGAGGGCAGACTGGACTGGACCTGTGTCAGGACACTCGAGATTTGGAGGGCACTCAGAGCTTTGGCTGAGTGCAGCCACACAGGACGGTGGCCACATTGCTCCTTCCCAGGGCTATGAGAGAGGCAGCAGCCCCTCCCTCAGAGACCCAACACCACCCTGTGGGCCAATGAAGTGCTAATTGAGGCTCACTAACAATCAGCATCTGCCCCACCCTTGGGAAATCCCCTTGTGCTAAGCACCTGAGGGAGCTTTTCAATCAACTGACAACCCAAAACTCATCAAGTAACCTCAACTGCTAGTCTCCAGGCAAAAAGCTAGAGGATAACAGTACCTTTCCTGGGCTGGCAACTTTAACCAGGAAAGTAAGACTTGACAGTGGTGTTTAACGTGGGTCCTCCCTTGCTCATCTAAACACAGGAGAGGGAGCCACAAACAGCAGAACACCAACACCCACAGGGAAAACTTGACAGGCTCCAAAGCCCACGGGGATAGCCAAAATGGTGAAACACAGAAACAGAAGCCAAATGAAAGAGCAAGAGACCTCCACCGAAGATGAGATCAATGTGGAGCAATTAGGCAGGTTAACAGAGCTAGAATTCAGAGCCATGATCTTGAGGAAGCTGAACAGCATGAGTAAGGACACAGAGACACTGAAAATAAGCCAACTGGAAATTAAAAACTATCAAGAAGAGATAAAAAATGACATAGCAGAAATGAAAAACACATTGGAAGGTTTAAAAAGCAGAGTAGAGGAAGCTGAGGACCAGATCAGTGAATTAGAAGACAGGGTAGAAAAAATCAACCAATCAGAAAACCAAAAGGAAAAAAGATTAAAAAACAGGAAGACAGCTTAAGAGAACTATGGGACAACTGGAAACATAATAATATTCGCATCATAGGAGTCCCCGAAGAAGAAGAAAAGGAGCAAGGGATAGAGAATATATTCAAAAAAATAGTGACAGAAAACTACCACAATTTGGTGAAGGAAGAAGGCATTCAAGTTCAAGAAGCACAGAGAGTCCCAAGTAAGAAGAACCCAAACAGGCCCACACCAAGACACATAGTAATTAAAATGCCACAAATTAAAGACAAAGAGAGAATCCTAAAAGCAGCAAGAGATAAGCAACAGGTTACCTACAAAGGAAACCCCATAAGGCTCTCAGCAGACTTCTCACAAGAAACACTACAGGCCAGAAGGGAATGGCATGCAGTAATCAAAGTCATGAA